GTCCGATTACAACCCTTCTAACACTCAACTGGGTTCCTTTGACTCTCAACAGATATGAGGCTCAAAGCCTCGGACTCGTCGAGTCCAAGAACGGACTCGCCGAGTCAGTCATGTCCACACTCTAAATCCTTGAATTCTGATGTACAACCTTTGATCAAAAGATAGATCCAAGCTTCTATAATCGATCTAGCACGTAAAGTTACAAACTTTACGTGCTTGCATGAGACTTTGAGCTCAAAAAGACATAAAACAAGCTCTTAAGATGCATGGGGCCTTTCATGGGTGCAAAAGCAGTCCCCAACTGCCTTGTGACTCCTTTAATGACGTGATTCCGAAGCTCTAACCCCCAACCATGTTTGCAATCATGGTTGGCCATCAAAAGTGGCTTATAAAAGCCCTAAATCTCCCCAAAAAGGGATCTAACAAATGAAAGAGCAAGGTTATAGCTTTTTACCTTCAATAAACTGTGGAAGGTGCACAAACTCGGGTTCCCTTGGTCTTTACTTGCTTCCTCAAGCCTTTCTCCTTCCTTCTTAAGACCACAAGCACCAAAATCCACCAACAAGGCTTAGATTGCTTCAATAACGGCTAGGGTTTCAATGAGAGGTGTTCTGGGAGCATAAGGGACGTTGTGGCCGACATAACATTGTTTAAATAGGGTGCAGACCCTCGGATTAGGGTTTTTGTCTAGTCAGAGTCTACTCGTCGAGTCCGGGACCCAACTCGACAAGTCCATCACTTAAATCCCGCACCTCACCCCGCTTTTACTCGGCGAGTTGGTCCTTCAACTCGCCGAGTCCAAGGCCAAAAATGCAAAAATACTTAAATAAAAATACATACCAAGAACCAGGTGCTACAAATAAACTGGAGATCGACAGATTCAGTAAGAATAAAGTGAATCAAACACGAAGAACAATGATCAAGAATTGTCGAATGATTAATATTATCAAAGCCTTAGAAGAGTTGAACGTGAACTTCTCTGTAAAGGCGATGTAGGGCAATACAACTGATAACCCTAAAACGACGCATGCATCCTAATAGCATCAAGACTCGGGTGGACAGGCTCAACCCGTTACAATATGGACTATTCTATTACAAAACAATTGACACAACACTTTTTAACCCAACAATATCCCCCTTTGTGTCAATTAAAGAAAGGAGATACTTCATCTCTGAACCTTCTAAACTTTAAACAGCTTGGTCATCAGATTCAGAAGATAATTTTGAATTATGAGATACCATATGATCATATCATTGAAACACTTCAGATCTTCATCATTGTTGTGTTTGCGTGCAACTGTTATGTCCATGATGTGATTCAGTCCAGTAGAAGAGTACAAGTGTTTGTCTAACAAAAAGAACATACTCTTTTGAACTTTATCACCACTTCTCCTTTGAAATACAAAACTCCAATCAACTTTCTTAATTTTACCCAACTTCCTCTTCTGAAAATCCTTCGTCTCTTCCTTAGGATCCACGACAAGCTTTTTCTTTAATACTGCAACTATCTCAACATCTAGTTTGGCAACCTCGTGAATATAGCAGATCAACATTCTTTTAACATGAGAGACGATAGGCTCATACCTCGCTTCATCTTTTGATAAAATCAGAAACAGGGAAATCCAGTCATTCAGATTCTTGAATGGTAGATCAAAAAGCATGAAATCAAATTCAACACGACTTTTTCCCCTGAATCCTTTAAACTTGATGTTGGTGAAGTGTTCAACAGGAAAAAGAGCATACACTTTAATAGCTACAAGCTTCTATAGACTCCATATCTCATACTGAGGATGACCGTGCTTGAGATAGAACAAGAAAAGCATCTTATTAACATCATAGTATGGAAGAGGTGCCTTCTCAATATGTTCAAAGCCTCTGAATAAGAATTCTTTCAGATTGAGTGGCAAGTCAAGCTGCGAGTTGGCAGTGTTGTTCAGCTCAAACTGTAATTCCCCGATTCTTAGGTATTGATAGTATGACTTTAAATTTCAAGTTTCAAGGTCTACTCGACGAGTGGATGTCCAGACTAGTCGAGTAGGAGCGGGATTGGGCGACGTGTTTAAGTGACCAACTCGCCGAGTCGGAAGAGTGACTCGACAAGTTGGAGCTGGAGGGTGAAACCCTAATTTCTGGGGTTTTGCACCCTATTTAAAGAACCATTTGCCCCTTAGCCTTCCCTTATAGCCCATGTGAGTCCAGAAACCCTAAATCTCCATTTTATCTCCATACTTGTGTGTTTAAGCTTGAAAGGTGGATCTTGGTGAGGAAAGGCTTGAAGATCAAGAAGCTTTTGAGCAAGGAACAATTGGGGATCTGAAGTCTACCTCATTTTATCATCTTTTGAAGGTATCAAGTCATCACCTTGAGCTTCTTCTAGCTAGATCCCTTTTATATTTGATTTTTGGGACCATAATGGGGCATTTGGTGTTGCGTTTCGAGTGATGAACCAAGATCTGAAGTTGTAACTTCAGATCTAGGCTCATCTTGGCTCTTATCATCATAAAGTCTCAGTCTTTAGCATGTTGGTGAAGCTCTTTTGTCTAGAACCTCTTCTTAGCTTAATTTAAGTCATTAGCCCCTTGCATGCACGTAAAGTTTGCAGCTTTACGTGATAAACAAGCCCTAGGATCTTGGATCTACAGTATGGACCCTTAGCATGGCTTAAAATGCATCTGTATGGATGAAGGACCGAAGGGACTGGACGAGTGGCATGGTCGACTCGGCGAGTCCGATGAAGATTGCCTTACGCCCGCCGTGTCAGATGAGTGACTCGGCGAGTTGGCAAGTTATGCAAGGAACTCGGCGAGTAGCTAAGGGTACTCGACGAGTTGATGTCAACATGGACTGTTGACCGTGACAGTTAACTTTGACTTTGACCAAGGGTTGACAAGTTGACTTCTGAGGGTATTTTTGTAAATTGAATGTTGATAGCAAAGGACATTGGTGAATATAGGTGTTGGAGTTGGAGCTACATGTGGAGGAGTTTGACACTACCTTCCGAGCTACTTGCGAGGTGAGTTATCCTCAATATACTCAAGGGTCTAAGACACCAAGGCCGACCCTTTGGATTGTTATCAGGTTATGTTATGCTAGTATGATCTGTTAGAATGGTATCCTAGAGGGTAGGATAATATTATATGGTATGCGGTATGACCTGTTAGACCGGTATCCTAGAGGGTAGGATAATATTATATGATATGTGGTATGATCTGTTAAATCGGCATCCTGGTAGATAGGATGGTGTCATGTGCTATGTGGTATGATCCGTTAGATCAAGTATTGTCTATAGACTGTTATGTGATTATCTGTTATATGTGCACATGTTCGTTTAGCGGTTGAGGTTTATCTGCCTTGTGCGGAGGCCAATAAATTTGTGCATTCCAACCTGTAGGTTGTGGACCGTGAGTATTCCATCCCGAGGATGACTGGACTCGTAGTATGTGGGCATTCCAACCTGTTGGTTGTGGGCCTGGGGTATTCCATCCCGAGGGTGATTGGACCCATAGTATGTTGGCATTCCAACGGGATGGTTGAGGGCCTGGGGTATTCCAACCCGATGGTTGACTGGACACATAGTATGTTGGTTATGATTATATGTGTATTGTTGTGGTATGTGTATTTTGGGGGAACTCACTAAGCTTTCGGGCTCACAGTTTCAGTTTATTGTTTCAGGTACATCAGGGGATCGCGGCAAGGCGATGGCGTGATCGTACAACTCCTCACTTTTTATGACTTTGTTTCTGGGATACTCTGATATGATACATTTTGAAAACAAGTTTTGTAATGGTTAATGGTTTTTGAAATGTTTTAAAAGTTTTAAATTGCACTACAAGAAAAAGACCCTTTTATGACGCGTAAACCACAAAACTCATTGGTTTATGTTACACAAAAGAGAGTGACATTAAAAAAGTGACATATCTTAAAAAATTTAAGGATTTATGTCGCCCATTATTTTGCGCCCTTAAATCAGTGTCTAAAAAAACACGGAGGGCACCTATAATAAAATGAGTGTCGTCTAAGGATGTCGTTTTATAAATTTTAATGGAACGCGCGTGTTCAACCTTTAAGAGCTAAGCGGGAAACAAAATCCCCACAAATTAGAAAACCCCGCCTTGTTCTCATCTTCCTTCGTTTCTACTTTTCTCTTTTCCATGGTTTGGCTTAATGAAGCTTTGTGAATTCCATAAGTTATCACACTCTAGGGCTTTTTTCAGGATTATTTGGTTCAAGTAATTTCTCCATTTCTCCATTTTGATCTCTCCCTCAAAATGTCAAACAGGTTGAAAAGATTTGAGATGGTGGCTAGAGGGAAAGAATAGGGCAACGACGGTGGCTCCAAAGAAAAAAAGATGCCACACCGGTGACTTTAGGGATGGAAGATAACTACGATGAGTGGTTAAACTTCATGAAATTGATCCACAATTGCTACCTTTCTCCTACCTTTCACTCCTCCCATCTTTTTCACCATAATCATCTTCTTATTCATTCACAAAATTTTCAACATGAAAATCGCTACTTCACATTTCAGTCATTCATATAAATCCCAAATTATTCAACTTGATTTCGAACCCTACCTACATCATCATCCTGGAAAAACCCTAGCACATCATCCCTAAAACACCCAATAGAAAAACCGAGATTTAAATCCCTAAATGATTCAGATGATGATGAGAACTTGGATGAAGTTGCACCTTCTTCACCTTCCAATTCGATTTCATTGCAATAGTCTGTTTGAGTTTCTTCCTTGTTATAATCATCTTAAAAATCTTCGGGTTCTTGACTTGAGTTGATGCTCAAGGCTTAAATCACTTATATCTCTCCCAAGTACACTTACAGAATTGTATATATACTACTGTACGTCACTAGAGAAAATAAGTTTTGAATCACATCGATTCACATTGCAAGAGTTGGGCTATGAAGGTTGTATTAGTTTATGTGAAATAGAAGGCTTTATCAAATTGGTGCCTTTAGCAAAACTTGAAGATAATGATTTGGGACACATGAAGTGGCTAAAAGAATATCAAAATCAAGAGGTGTCCCTGATTAGTGATGATGAACTCACCAAAGGCAGAAGCTTGTTTCTCCAGGTTAATTGTTTTTAATTTCTTTTCTCCCAAACACAAACACAATCACAAGCAAAAACTGATTATGTATATATGTGTGTGTGACTACAGATGCTATATGAATTTGATATAATAAGCACATCTCTTCCAGACATAACGGATCCAAACATGAAGCCCACGTATGTATCAGAATTATCGTCTTTGTCCTTTGATGTGCCTTTGTGTCCCAAGAATAGAAGGCTTAAAGGGCTTGATATAACTTTCAAATATACAACAATATCAGGTGATGATGATTGACTTTTCCTTGTGTTGGACATTAACTTATTTAACTCACACCCATCAATGTACACATTTACAACCTACAGGCTAAGGACAAATATGAAGAAGCATATGATGAAAATGAATATGCAGACCTACAGGCTGAGGTCATGTCTGAAGAATCATATGATGAAAAGGAAGATGCAGACCTTTCATTAAGTGTTTGGATGAGAGAGCAGAAGCTTTCATATCAAACTTTCGTAAACAACTAGAAAAGGTGATTAAACGTTATATTGCTTGGTAGATAGAATTGAGGAGTTTAATCTTTCGTCATATATGAGTATGTTATTCATCTTAAACTTCTAAATCTTCACAAGAAATTTAATGGAGTTTGCCTATACTTTCACTCTACAACTTAATTGTCATCTCTTGAAAACATAACCTGGCTATTGTTGATGTTGTGATTTATTCAAGAAAAAGGTGAGAGTTCGAGCATGTATAAAGCCTTTGTTCCTAATGAGATTCAGGAGTCTACTTCAAGCTCACATGGGGAGAAACTGAAATCGCTAACTGATGATGTTAGTCGCCAGATGAAGGTAAATTCGACATTAACTAATAATTACACCCCACATTTTATTTCCCATATGTTACTATGAAGCAATATTGTCTAGTGAATCTTCAAATGTTGGGACATGTAACATCAAACATGATTGATATCTGAATACCAAAAAAAAACATTATTGATAACAATCAATTATAGTATCAGGTTCTATAATTTTTTTTGATGATTATAGTGTACATTCCAGAAAATTGTGCTGGAAGTCAACGTAGGCAGCCAAAGTCAAAAACAGAAGGTGGTAAATGTGTTATGTGGACTTCAGGGCATTGAAACAATCCATGTGGATACAGAAGATGGGAGATTAACTATTACTGGGGATGTAGATCCTGAGGTTGTTCTTATATGTGTGAGGAAGATTGAGATGGCAGATCTCATAAGTGTTGCACGTGCAACATAATATATAAACTGAGAGATTTCATGCTGTCATTCTGATCGATTATATCCTGCTGCTGCTTTTTTCAACAATTGCTATACATACAAATATAAAGTTCCTCTACAGTTTTCATTGTATCTGGTTTGCATCAGAAGAGATACATGTTCATGACTGTGAGTCAAGTTCTTGTATATTGGTACAAGTCCATTACTGTTTATTCATTATATTTCATTTTTGGACTAACGGATGTTAACTTTAGGGACCAAAACCATTTCAAATGGCTTTATTTGGATGTGCTGGAACTTAGGGGTGAGCCTAAGCGGGTATCCGCCCTATTTTTCTGGAACAGGAGATTCTTGGAATGTAGGAAATTGAACCGGAACGGTTTATAATGGTGTTGTATATGCATGGAATATGCAGAATCAAACATGGGATAAGGTATTATTTTGAATGATGTTTAATTCACTAAATGATTTGATTCTAATGATCAGGTGTGATGATAAGATTTCTCATTAATTAGCATTTTCTTTTGCGTATTTTAGATAGGGGAAGTAACTGATAGGCCTGATGTTGGCAATGACATGAAGCGCCCAGTTCTTGATGGAGTACAATATGATTATGGTGAGCCTTTTGACTTTTGACTTTATTTCCTATGCTTCTTTTTTTTATTATTTTCTACTGATACCACAAAAACTTGTAAATCAGTGTTTGATGTGGATATTGGAGAAGGTGAACCTATTCTTAAATTGCCATATAACAGATCATGTACTTTTTTTTTATTTCCTATGCTTGTTTTTTATTCTTTTGACTTTATTTCCTATGGTTATTACTTATATGTTATGTATTATCTCATTTTCAACCAGTGGTTATGTGCCAGGGGAGCCTTCCAGGTCTGGTCGTATGTTTTGTGCTGATTTGTATAATATGTGAATTCAATGTATAGTTTTAACTCTACTTCTAATTAGTATTTTTGTATAATTTTAAAAAACGGAAGTAGTCCTATCAAGGGCGACATTCTAGTGGTTGCAGGGGCTACCCTTTATGCTGTCAACAATGTTAATTACTGAGGTAATCTTCTTGTCTTTTATCATTTTTGGTCAAAGGGCAATTTTGTCATTTTGCTTAATGGATGAATAAAGTATGATGCAAAAAGATGAATAAAAAATAATTGATTAAAAGGCCAATAGAGTTGCTGGTTCACTCTGCTTAGCCACTGGAGTTGGTGAGGATATGATTGTTAACAGGTTAGTCAAGTAATAATAATGATTAATGAGTTTTGTTTTGACTACTTTTTTAAACCTCAAGGGATGAAAGTGAAATATTCTGATTTAACTTTTTTTTTTTTGGAAATTATGAAGTATGAAAGAGTATGAAGAGAGGACAATGTATCTTGCTTTAAACCGGTTGAAACTTGAAGAGTTGAAGGAACTCAATTCCATTCATTTTTTCTTTTTTATTATTAAAAGACCATAATACACTCATATATTATGAAAATAAAAAACAATTTAATTAAATGGATGAAATTCTTCAAATCTGATGTTTGAAGGATTCTACCATATTCCTAGTGAAGGGTGGAAGGAATTGAATTCCATTCATTTTTTTATCAAAGACAAAAATACCCTTATTTCTATATAATAAAAGACAAACAACCCTTCATCATATATGATAAAAAAACCAAAATACTTTAGTGAATATATACTCTGATATAAAAATTTTAAATTACTTAATTTTTATTTTTGAATTTCATTTCATTATGATTTGATTCCTTAGAATAATAACAACCAAACTGTACATTACAAGGAAGAATTGTTGGGGGATCAGGCAAGACAACACTTGCTTTGAATGTAATCAAGGAAGCTCAAAAGCATGGAGGTGCGTTCCAATGTTCTTTAATTCCACATATAAATAATGTTGGTGTTTCACATTTTATGATGATTAGAAGTTATTTTTGGTAGGTTTTAGGTAGTCTTTGTTGATTTTTAACTAAACTATATTGCAAATAATTTCGAGTAGTTCAGGTGGTAATCTAGAGTGACTGCTCATTATCTTTCATATGCTCTCACACCTTCTCATCCTTCAGGTGGATTTTTTTTCAGCTGTGTATTTTGATTTAAGGGTTTATGTCACATTTGATATTTCACCAATTAAGTTTTTATGTAGGGAGTAGAAAAAGGGGAACTTTTCTCCTTCAAAATTACCCATGGTAAGTTTTTAAGTACTTTTAATCAATATTTTATGTCCATAAAGTCAACATATTGACAACACTTGTTGTATCTGAATCAGGTTCTAGTTGAAGAAGCATCTGAAGGACTTTCTATTTTTGATAAACTGAAATTAGCTCATTACTAAATAATCTTCAGTTTCCTCGTATTTAATCAGTGCATATTATAACTTTATAAGTTGCTTGTATATGAGGATCTCATCTTTTGGTAATATTTACAACTGTCTATTATTAATTAGTTGATATTGATATTGTACAACTGACATGATTATTGTGTAGGATTTCCGTGTTGTTATTTATCAAGAGTTGGGATTGATATTGAAGCTAAGAGACATGATGATTGGTTGGATACATGAAGGGTTTTAGAGCTTCTTCAGACAGCTTAATGACGAGTAACTGAAACAAGAAGGTGCCCCTTTATAGCAATGTAGTATTAGGTTATATAGTTAGGGAAAACCTCTTAATAACAATGTACAATCAGATCCCTTTAATATCAATGTATTACATTTTTTTGACATGATGTTATTGGATGAAATTGATTTTTTTGGTATATATTTGTTTACATATTTTTGTATTATGCGTAAATGAGTATCGTAAAGATGCATCGTAAATGCATATCGAAAATGGTTACTGAAGTTTATGACACGCAAATACGTGTCATCTTCATTTATGATAGGGGCTTCCTGATGGGTTTTGAGCATTCTAACACTCCTAAGGTGTACATGCAACCCTAGAAACCTTGGATCTATGTTTGTCTAAAATACATGCAAAATACTTTTTCCAAGGTTCATAATTCTATCTAGCATACATGGGGAACATTTAAACATAAAAGACAGCTAGAGTTACATACCTTGAAAACCTTGAGATCCTAGCACCCCAAGTGTGATGCCTCAAATGTTTCACACAACACCAAATGCTCTTGGAATAAACTTTGAGAGAAATGTCACACTAAAAATCGGCTTGCCCTCTATCTACCTTCTAGTCGTCGATTTTGGTGAGCTTCATATCCTTTATATAGTGTGTTACAATTAGGGTTACACCATGTAAACCCTAATGTAACATGGCTCTTCATTTCCATGACCCATGGGTTTGTAACACCCATGGAGCATCCTATGGACCTTAGCCCAACTTGATAATCCATGGAGCCTTTAGCCCACTATACAAGTTATGGATGATTTACATAATCAACCCATATATTTAATTAGTCATCTTTTGATCACTTAATTAATTCCAAATTAATTCTTGATCAAAACTAATTAAACAATATTATTAATATATTAGAACTTATAAAATATTAATAAACCATAAGTGTTATTTCTCTCATTTTAGTTTATGCAATTGCATGATGCCATGCAACCCAAATGGACCATGCCGGGTCGGGTCAAGTACATACCAAAAATAGTTATGGACTTAGACACCTTATCCAACAGTCTCCCACTTGGATAAGTCTAATATCTATAACTGCAAGTATGACTTCAAGAACCGATCAGCAATCGTAGCTCTTTCAAGGTCTCTCGGAACTGAGAAGATGATGACACGCCATTTAAGATAAGTGATCATATAATCCTCTGTTCTAGATATCAGCTGGACAAATACATGGAACAACGTCTTACTTATTGTCTAGCAGTTTGTTTCCCGATTTCCGATTTGTTTGACATAGAACTTAATTGAACACATCAAATTAGTTCTGACCGGGCCCGGTACATGGGTCAACACAAAATCATCGAGGTGCCCAGATATCGCTTCTAATCCAAGAAGGAACAAATAAACTTCGACTCATATTCTTGTTCTACTACTTGTTGAATCACACACAAAGGAAAGTTTTATAACATCGAGTTACCAATGCGTTTTCGTACAATCAATGCATGACAAACTCATAGGCAACAAGTCATATCTCTAGGTTTGAAGACTTATATGATATTACCGTCTCGCGATCACTCGAGATAAATTCCATGAAGTGATACCAGCGAGCGTGGGTTGGATCCAATACTCAGAACTTATGAGCACTCATGAAGTGTTGTAGCATCTCTTGCTATGTATAACCACATAGCCCTCTACA